ATGAATGATGCAACATAAAGGTGCAGCAGCACTCTTGAGCCTCAAAGACAGTCGTGGAAGAAGCTGAAACAGACACAATTTATTGGTAAATAAGAGAGGCGACCTCCCACCCACAGCATTGTACAACACCGCAGGTGAAAGCCAAAGACAGGCTCATCTGTGCATGAGCCCCAGCTTTGAGAATCATGGGAAGGGAGACATTCTCCTACCAGTTTTTCTCTGAGGAGTAGAACTAAATCTCACAGGCAGCCTTACATGGCTATTCATAAAGTCCCTCAAGCACAACTTAAATAAGAGTATGCTGGTTAATCAAACAGCATCCCCTGCCACATCCTAGGCAAGACCATCCCCTTTCACTCTTGCTGCTATTCATGTTGTGAAAAATTAAAATTGTTGTGCCTACTGTGCTCTTCCACCACCACCACAACATGGTTTTCTTTTCTGGTTCCATCAGTGCATGGGTAATGATTGGTCCATGATGTTTAAAAGAAGCCAGTAGGTTCTACATCTGCTTCTCTGAGTTAAGACATGGCTATCAGCTGTCTAATAGATTCTGGGTATATCACATGCATTCATTAAGTAAAACGGGCTCTCCGGCACCAGGTCTTACGTCCTCCACGGCTGGATGAGCTCAGGTGGCATGAGGTGTGGTCAGATAGTTGAATGTGATTCAGGTGTGGTCCTCTTATATCTTTCAGAAAATGAAGTTTTTCACAGGGAGAAAGCTGAGTGGCAGAGCAATTTTGAATACCAACCCTGCAAATGTTCACACATGCATCTGCTGAATTCACTGCTGGGTCAGTATGGAGTGAAAGGCTGCCGGATAAGGGTCCTTGCTTCTTTGTCTCTACTGTCCAAGCAGTAACTCTATTCCAGCTATCAAACAGTGGAAACATACCTGTGACTTTACAGGTTGCTAATTTCCAAGGATTCCTCTCCCATTCACTTCTGCATCATTTGGATTTTTCATATGTTTATAACACACAATTCCTTTGTTCTCCCTTTCATCTCTGTGCTGAAAGGCCACGCTTCCCAGACCAGCCACCCTGAGCTCAGCCTTAACAGCAGGTAAGAGGTGGTCAGCTCCCTGCCAGAGTTTGCTTTAGAATTAAAGGAATCCTAATTCCAGCATTGGAAATTAAGATATTGTTATTAGCTCTCGTGTTAATAATTTAGAAAATACTGCCAAATCACCATCTTCTCTCAGTTCTCTCTGAACACAGTGCAAACTGCATTAGGTGATAGAGTGAATGGATATATTTCAGATGAAATATTTGTACTGAATTATTAGAGTAGTCTGTATTACAAAATTACTAATAAACATTGCTTCTGGCTCAATTTAGCCTGAACTCAGTGAACCTAACCAGTGGTGAGAAATCAAAAACTCTGAAATACCTGATGAATGAATCTAACTAATCAAGAAGCCCTGCAGGAAGTAGATGCCAGGATTAATGAGCCAGTGGTTTCACCATGCCATGCTGTTATTTCTTCACATAAATGCCCTCAGATGAGATTACCTTTGTCATGAAAAGGAGAAAAGGAAGGTTACATACTTTCAACTGACAGGTTAACTGCCATACCTCCATTACTGCAAGACACATTTTCATGTGCAGAGATTTTTATTCTGAAAAATGAAAATTTAAATACCACAACACAAATTAAACCACATTTTCATTTCTAAGAGCAGGGATCATTACTGCTTGTACAATAATATAATCCATGCTGCAATGTTACCTGATCCCTTGCCTTGCACAAACTTTCTTCCCTTATTAGTAATTGCTCAGTGATTGCAATCTCCAGCAGTGAGTAAGAGCAGATTCTGCCTTCCATGGGGATTTAAGCAGAGGAAGAGAGGAGAGAGAGAGTGTCAAAGCATTTCATCAAGAGAGCAAATGAAAGGTTCAGTGACATTATCTTTATGTATATTCCTTAGACATTAGGGGTGATGTTGTGTTTAGAGGAAAGTAGAATTACATGAATATGTGCCGAGGTGGAAATGAATCCATATATAAGAACATAAATCTCAGTCTACTTACACACTGGGTAGAATAGCTTAAGTCTAAAATGCACCTTAACATAAGCAAATAAGCACAGCTTGTAACAGCCCCAGTGCCTGGTGTTACCTACTTAGTCAGTAATAGGCTAATTGTTATTCAGCATAACTGTTCCTTCTCAATTTGTATGGAATTCATTCATTTATTTTGATGACTTTACGTGAATGAAGAAAAGCTGTTCATGTTGTTAGATAGAACTGGTTCGTGTTGTTTAATTTTTAGCTTTTAACATCAGCAAGATTGAGACTTTATAGTAAAATAATTCAGACAAAGCATGTAGCATATGTGAGTGAAGCCTGTGGTCTGCTTCCTTCCACCCATGTTAAACACATAAAAGCATCAGCTTAGACGTTTTATGCTGCAAAGCTTCAGCGGATGCTAAGGGTACATGTAATTTCAAAAATCTCCAGGACTCAGAACACAAGGATCTATTGCTATGGAAACAAATCAAATTTGTATCAAAGTTGTGTAGGATCAAAAAGCTTTGCTCATAACCAGGACTACAGTTGCATAGAATATGGAGGAAATGATGGATGTTCTAAGAGCGAGCATTAAGCTGAAGGACCTTTGTAAGGCCCCTTTCACAGAGCTGCAATGTTCAGTGTCAAGAGTTGGATCTTACAGGTTGTGTCTCAATCCCCTGCCCCCAGCCGGAAAGAGCATTTTTCTCCACCATTAAAAAGCACATCTTTTTTTAAGATCTTCCATATCACACTTTACGACATTCCTACATCATAAAGCTGTCTTGCTTATAGCAATATAAAGCAGCTGTAAAAATTATGTGCTTGTAAACAACCTTCCATACATTTGGAAGAAGCAGAGTGAGATTTGCACTCTTCTGCATGTAAGTGGAGATCTTTCGCCCTCCTGGCAGGCCACACTATGGGGAAGAGAACACTGTGGAACTGGGAAGACCAAGGGACATCCGAGCTGGCTGCTCCTCCCCTTCGACCACGTAAGGTCAGCGGTAGGATAGGGAGGCTGGAGGTACTCTAACCAGCTCTGCTCCGTAAGCAGCCTGCATGGCTGAACTACACCGAGCACGGACCTCAATCTCGGAGCCAAGCCCGGGCACAGAGGGGCAGCTGCTCTGCCCGAGGCTGGGCAAGGGACTAGAGGCATGGCTAGAAGGAGAGACAGAACACAGTGACTTCTTTTCCCAAGTGCTACTGTGGTATGGATTTTGGTGTGGGACCTGGCTTTCCCATCCTAGACTTCCTCAGGTGGAGCATCCTGGGTTGTTACAGCACCTGCAGGAGCAGACTCCTGCAGGAGGGCGTAGGGCTCTTTATTCAGGTGACTCCCAGAGGACTCACTTGTGGTCTGGATCACCAATAATTTATTCTGCTTTTATTTCTCTTTTAAATTAAATATGCATATGTAATATGCACTTTGGAGCGGGCAAGGACCCTTCTGCGGGTGCCTATGGAGTCGTGCACTCTCAGGTGTGTAATTAAGAGGTGTGTAATTGATGTACAAGGAGAAGAGATCTTAGAGTATTGCATAAAAGGCAAGGGCGAGGGGGAAGAAGAAAAAAAGAAGCCCAGACCAGGCTGTATGATGCTTGGCAATGTACTGCATTTCTTTTTCCCACCATATCAAAGTTTGCACGGGAGTAAAACGAGTTCTTTCTTTCATGGGGCTTGCTTTGCCAGCAGGCATGCCCTTATTTCACACTCTGAAAAAACTGATCATCTCTCTACTGCTTGCCTGCCCCAGCCTCCTGCTGACCCATTCTCCTTCATCCCTTGCCCTGCCCTGCTTCGCCACAGAACTTTTTGTTACTCACACTTTAAAGGCCAACCACACAGAAAGATTAACAAAAGTTTATTAATCATGAAGTATTAAAATTGTGACAAGTGAAAGGCATCAATGCAAAGTTAAGCAAGCAAACTATCCCCAAACTTGTGACAAAGGACTCAGTGAATACCACAGAAGGAAGTCCTGTCTATTTTTTTTTTTTTTGCCTGCAGTTGAAGACACCTCTCATATCTCACACGCCACATCAAAATCTATAATTCTTCATATCACATACTGAAAATGATTTTATTTATCCATTCACATTAACTTGATATAAACGTGTCCGGAAAAGTCAAGTAATATGTTTTATATTAGCTCAAACATTTATTAAGTAACCCAAAATTCAATAAATAAGCACAGACAATAAGTTAAAACATATCACGAATCGACCAGTATGTAACAAGAATGCTTTATCTACACAAAACATCCTATTTCACATCGTTTGTTCATTCCTCCAGCGGCCCTGCCCTGCGGCGGGGTGACCGGCACATGCAGGCGGGCGGGCCGCGGGGCCGAGCCGGGCCAGGCGGGGCGGGGGGCGCGGCGGCGCCTCCGCCGGCGCTGCGGAGGGACAATAGCAGCAGGAACGTAAATAAATGCGTAAATAAAGGTAGGGAGGATCGGCAACTCAACTGTCACGAAATCAAAGATCCGAAAAAGGGAAGCGCTCTTGCGCGCTTTTTTCTTCCCCCTTTTATCCCCTTTGTTTTTTACAAAAAGAAGCTTTTAAATTTTTTTTTCTTTTTAACCCCATCACATTCGCTGTCGCTCATTAATGCTTAATCAAAATGGGTTTGATTCTCTCTGGGGTCTCCGTGCCTTTTCGCGAACCCGCCCGGCCGTCCCCCGACGGCGCCCTCGCGGCGGAAGGAGCCGGCGGCAGGTCGCGGCTCCTAAATAAACCACAAAAAATTATGAAACAGAAACGCATTTCTTTGCAAAGCCAAAGCCGGACGGGCGGACGGCGGGAGAGCCGGGTCGTGGCGACGGAGGGCGGCAGAGCCGGGCTCGGGGCGGCCGCGGGTCCTCCCGCCGGGCGGGGGGACCGGGGGGCACAGGGGGCGCGGGGGATGCGCGGGGGCAGAGGGGCTTGGGGAGGGTCGGGGGTGTTTCTCGGCCCACAAACCAGTCTGTTGGTGTCGGCCATTAGGTGAAACTCATGGAGACTGTGTGCTCTAGTGCTTTGCGGCGGAGGGAGGCGATGCTGGTTCCCCGCCACACGTCGCTGCTGTCCGGGGAGCTGCAGAGCTGGGGCGAGCCCGTCACGTTGCTGGGGCCGGGCAGGGAGGCGGGCACCATGCCGGGGAAGGCGGGCTGGTAGAGGTGGGACTGCAGCCCGGCGCCGTTGGAGCCCGCCAGGCTATTGGAGAGGCCCATGGAGTTGGGCGGCGGGCCGGCCGCCAGGCTGCACTGGGACAGGGACTGCGCCATGGCTTGCTGCCGTCCCAGCGCCGGCGGCAGCGGCAGCTGCGACACGCCGGGCATGGCGGCGGCGGCCCAGCGCGTGTCGTTGGCGTGGAAGGAGCACAGGCTGTCCCCCATGGCGGCGGCGGCGGCGGCGGCGGCCGAGGGGAACTGCGGCAGCCCCGGCGTCGGCAGCAGCGTGCCCGGGGCGCGGAACACGTTCGTGGTCTTCTTGCGCTTCTTCCACTTGGCGCGGCGGTTCTGGAACCAGACCTGCGGGCGGCGGGCAGCGACACGCTCCGTTAGCCACCACCTCCCCCCGCAGCCGGGAGCCCCGGCCGGACCCCCGCCCCGCTCCCGCCGCCCCTCCGCTGCGCACCCGCAGCCCCACGCCATCGCGGGCTGACGAAACCTGAAACTTTTCATCATGAAAGCGATCGATTTGTCCGTCCTGGGCGGGAGACTTCAGGAGAGGAGCCTGGCCTTCCCACGGAAAAAAAAAAAAACCAAACAAAACAAAAAAACAAAACAAAACAAAACAAAAAAAAAACCACCAAAAAAACCCCAACACGAACAGTCTACGGCTCTGGGCCTTGCGTGGACGCGCCCCTGCCCCGGGCCAGCCAGGAAACCCTCGCACCAAACCGCCCGCATTTGGGTTTAAAAAAACACCAAAACATAACAAAACCAAACCTATAGTAACAAAACCAGAGGTGGTTTAGGTGAGTGGCAGGGATGGTTTGGTGGGTCTCGCCGCACCGCGGCCGAAAGCAACCGGGACAGTCGTAAGCCGGGATAAAGCGCGTCCACCTGAAATCCGAGGGAGCGCAGTGCCCCATCCTGCCGGATTCCACCCTCTCAGACTCCATAGGCGGACTGAGAAAGGCGGAGGCCAATTAGCGGGAATGAACGGCCGTAAGGGAGCTAAATATTATATGAATAATCGAAAAATCGCGTTCAATTATGTTTTAGGGTTAATAGTCAAATTGCGGCTACAAAATCTTTTTATGTTTCATGGTTTGCTGGTGGTGTAAAGAATCTCCATCAGGTCTGATCGCCTAAGTTCATAGCTACGCTACATATGCTTTTAAAATGTGAATGTTTCCAGTTGAAAACTGGTGCATGACAGATTAAAATGCAAGGAAAACCTGGGGGAGATTTTGAAAATGCACACATGACAACTCTAGAAATATATTAACCATGAGCATTTGGCAACTTTGAACTCCTTTTAAAATGCAACTAGCCCCTGAAAATTATTAATACAACAGTGAGAATCTAATGGAGGTTGGAATCTAAAAACCTACCTTGATGATATCTGCTGTTACATTAATATAGACATACTGTAAATGTATTTTAAAATATATAGCCCATTTAATTCCCCAGCTATAAACGGGTGAGAGAGAGTGAAAGCAATAGAAAGGGAGACAATATCACTTTTGTTTTTCTTCTTCTTTTTAAATGTTCTTTTTATTTCTTTTTTTTTTCTTTTTATTTCTTTTTCTTTTTTTCTTTTAAGAAGCCAAAGCTTTATGAAGATCTCATTGGAATCCAGCAGATGATTAATGTGAAGATTTGGTAGGAAATCTGGAGAGCTGTATTAAAGCTCAGATCTCAGGTTCATTTCGATCAGCCAGCCGTGAACTCTGGGCCGAATTCATTACACTTTAATAGTGCTGGGAGAGGAAGAAAATGCAATTTCTCATTCCATTAGAAAACTAGAAAATACTCTCAGCTTGTCCCCTATTAAGATGTGGCAGGTGACGGGACCATTGTGGGGGACACGGTCAATGGAATTACAGCACATTATTTTTGTTCATATAAAATATTGGAAGGCAAGCCTGACTGTGCAGAAGTTATTTCACTGATTTAGTTTTTATGTAAATAAAATATTGAAAGTTAATTAATCCGTGCTAGAGACTAATGATTATGCTTATTATATTGCATTTGATCGCGTAATTTGCATGATTCTCGCATTGCTGCTTAATAAGCCATTCCAGGTTATAAATAATTCTGAAATTGGTTTCTAATAATGGCATGCTATAAAAAGAATGGTTTTATTACAGCAGCTTGAAAAGCAGAGCAATATCAGATGTGGAATTGGACTCCCGTTTAAGCATCAGCCAGCTTAATAATTATTTAAATGTATCATATACATTAAATACAGATCTAAAATGAGGAAAGTGGTGATTTATCCTAGCATCTAAAACCCTTAAAAACATATACAGCCTCTATAAATTAAGCATTTGGAGCATTCCTTAATCAATGTGGAGTCCATGTACTAAAAGGAATGTGTAGGCTATCTATTAACGGTAAAGAAAACTGTAAAGTACTCATATAAGAACATAAACTAATTATTATTTAATTTAAATTTGATCAAGGACCAGTGATACATCGGGTTTTGAAGTAAATATATTAAATATTTTTGCTTTAGATTACATAATGTTAATCATTTTGAAATGTTAATTAAGAAGGTTATGTTGATCTGATTACTTTTTAAATTACAGAACATTATTGTAAAAAAAATTTGAATTGACACTCTATTAAACTGTTTTTATCAGCAGTCTCGAGCTATTAGCATTGGTTTAAGATTATGCCAAGGCCATTAAAACACTTTGTCTTTCTTTCTACGAATTTCTTTGATGTGCTGTTAGAAAATAACTATTTCCATTTTATATTTTACTTCATTTACCACACTCCTAATATTGAAATTGGTATCATTAACCTTTGGGAAACCCAATAAAGTTTAATAGACCTCGTTTTCTTTTTTTTTTTCATAGAGTCAGTTGTCCAATTATATTTTATTTGTGAATCTAATTTCTTTTTTAATTTAAACTAATTATAGTTCTGTGTAGGCTGAGTCAAATTGTTTTACTTTTTAAAAGCAGACGTGCTTTTTCTGTCACATTCAAGAACGGAATCTGTTTCCCTTCATAAAACGTTCATTTAGGGATTTCTCTTCACGTGTCTTTATTTAGCTGAGGAGCCTGTGCTTGCCGATAGGGATTTTGAACAGTGCCTGCGCTGAAGTGCTTCAGCAGCGGCAGTCCCGGTGCACTGTACCGAGCCCGGGTGCGCATCCCACAAGTGCCTCTATTGTGCAGCCTTTCGTTCCTCGGCGTGGACTCGCCTAGAAAGTCGCTAAAATAACCTTATGCACAAAAAAGCTGCGTCTGAGCAGTCTAGCGCTTTGAACCTTCTCCCCCTTTACCAAATTTCGTTTACATTTATTTGCCTAAATAGTTTCCTACTGTTCTGTGTGCGCATATATATATATATACACACATAGACATATGTATATGTGTGTGTATATATATATATATGTCTGTGTACATATATATATATATATATATGTATTTTAGAGAACAAAGTGCACCCTAGATGTTGAAGTTACTCACTACTCCCGCCGTTCCCAGGCATTCTAAAAGCCAGTATGGGGAAAGTCCGAGTCCAGACACAGCTGGCTTTTATCGAAGTGCCTTTTTACCAGCCGATATGCCTTCCCTCGCACCCCACCTCGGCTCTCAGGGCGGTGGGCTTTGGCGGACGCCCCTTCCCGGCGGTGCCGCCGCCGTGTCACCATCAGCACCCTGGACAGCGGCCCCGCGGTCGCCACCGGACTCTGTTCCGGTGGAAAAGGAGTCCATCCCGGCAGGTTCGGCTCGACTCTTAGCGCCGGGCTATTGCGAGGACTGAAGCCGTTCTTTTCGGCTGACCCTCCCCAGACTCATTGCAGCCGCGGGTCGGGCCGTGGGGCTGAGGGAAGGTCAGCCCACGCCCCGCTCGGGACCACCGTGGGTAGGATAGAGGAAAAGGGGACACCCCAAGGTGACACTTTTGCGGAAAGGGGAGCAACGCATGTCTGGTTTCAAGGATTTCTGACCAAACTGTTGCTTTCAGGGGTGGGTTATTTACCCCGCCGTCGGGCTGAGGTTTGGGGCACCCGCCCCCCTCCCCGATGCGCCTGGCCTCGCCGCCGGCCGTGCAGCCGTCGGTGCGACCGGGGAAGGGCCGGCAGGCAGTGCGCGGGGGCGGCTTTTCATACCTGCACCCGGGACTCGGTGAGACCGATGCGCAGGGCCAGCTCCTCCCGCATGAAGATGTCCGGGTAGTGAGTCTTGGCGAAGCTCCTCTCCAGCTCGTTGAGCTGTGCTGGCGTGAAGCGAGTGCGGTGCCGCTTCTGCTTCTGCTGACCCTGCTGCTGCCCGGCCTGGCTGGAGTTCTGGCCGCCCTGCTGGCCTTGCTGCTTGTCAGGGTCTTTGGCGCTGACGGCTAAGGAGCTGGGGTTGGATCCCACCGTGGTGATGTCCTCTCCCGGCAGCAGGGTGGTCCCTTCTACCGTGTCCGAGTTGGGAGCCATGTCTCCCGGGTGTCCCCCCGGATCCGAGCCCCCGACGCCCAGCCGGCACTTGACCGCCTCCCGGTGTCCCAGCAGCTCGGCCGCGTCTTTCATCCCTGCGGAAGCAAAGGAGCGGCGGTCACTCGGCTGCAGCTGAGCATAGATCCATCAGAGCCCCTCTCCCGTGCACTGAACTGCAGGGAGACATCCAACCACCGCCACCGCCTCCCCCCGCCGTCCCCGGCCGCCCGCCCGCCAGACCCGCAGCCCTGCTCGGCTCCACGGCGCGCAGACACCCTGGCCCGGAGCGACCCGGGCGGGGGAGAAAACTTTACATCGAGCAGCTCCTCTTCCCGCTGAAATAGCCAGTTCCCTGCCCGGCCTTCCCTTGCAAGACCAAGGGAAGGGAAGAGGAGGACAGCAAGTTTTCACGGGTTCAACTTGGGTTTTCCAGCCGAGCTGGTAGAAGAAAGACACGGAGAGAAAGAAATAAGGCTCGAACCGCCCTGTTGCCGGGAGCGTTACCTCCCCGACAGATGCGCGGGGACCACGGTCAGTCTGGCCGATCTTTTCCCTCTCCTCCTTCCGCTTCTCTAAACAAACTCATGAATATCCATAAATAGATAGATAAAGATATTTCTCCCTTCTATTTCTCTTTCTTTCTTTCTTTCTTTCTTTCTTTCTTTCTTTCTTTTTCTCTTTTTTCTTTTTTTTCCTTTTTTTAAAAAAAAGGAGGGAGAAAAGCAAACGGGCGAGCAAGAAAAGGCCACCCAGAACTCTGTAAACACCATAGAGCTCATCTGTCCTAAAATAATAATCACCATAATAATAATGTGTAGGTATGTATATAAAAACGGGGGAGAGAAAAATTAAATGATCCACAACTCACTGTAGATCTACATACACCGTAGGTCTCACTCTCTTCTTTTTTATGTTAAATCAAATTAAACTTTAATACAGTACAATTACTTTTAAAGGAATTAGCCCATTTAGAACGCATTAAGGTAAAATAAGGAACAAATTGTCAATTTCCTGCCCCGGCTTCCTCCCCGCTCGCCGCCGCAGCCGGTGCAGCCGCCGTAGGGCGGGGGGGTGCCGGGGGAAACTCACCGAGACGGGCGTCCAGGAGGTCGGCGTGAGACAGCATCGCGCACCGCTCCAGGGCGAAGGCTGTTCCCCCCCAAATTTTAGCGGCCTTAAGTTATTTAAAATAGATATAAGATATGAGATATATATATATAGATATATATATATATAGATCGTCTAAATGAAAGAAAATTCGGTGTGTGGTTAAAAAGGGGGTCTCTTGCATTATAATGTCCTTTAGAGAGACGGGGAGGTGCTTAACACTTCAATGAACCCGTGAGCAGCTCGGCGCGGGGACCAATCAGGAGGGCAGCCTGCAAATGTCAGCGCCCGGAGCGCCCCGCTCCGCCCGCCCGCCGCCGCCGCCCAGGCCTCCCGCCGCCCCGGCCCGCAGCGCGCCCGCGCTGCCTCACCCTGCTCCGCTCGCCCTGGCCGCCCGCCGTCTCCTTCTCTCCTTCCCTTCCAAACGCACATTTGCCACACTCGTCCGCTCCGGGTCGCCCCTGATTTATCGGCTTTTATTGTTTTTAATCCTCCTCGGAGCGCACCCTCTCACCGATCGGTCTCCCGAGGGTCTCTCAAGCTCAGAGCCCGCCGAGGGCTGCGAGCGGGGGAGACGGGCGGCGGGGGTCGGGCAGCGCCGGCCCCGCTGGCCGGCGGCCCCGGGGAACGGGAGCGGCAGGGCAAACTGCAGCCAGGCTTTCACCCACGCGAGCCCCGACGGCTGCTGGGCGTCCAGGAAAGAGAAACTTGCCCGAGTTCCCGCAGCGGGCCGTGCTGCACAGGCTCGCTGGCCCCCGGGGCTGCCCGCCACCTCGGCCCGGCCCCGCTCGGAGCGGAGGCAGAGCGCACCGAGGGGCAAGGGAGCCCAGCGCCACGCGTCCCGGCCGCCCGGGCAGCTCTGCCTCCCTGCCCGGGATTTTAACGCCCTTAAACCCTATTTTTCGGGTAAAGTTTCCAAGTTCGGCTAGCCTACAAACTCAGCTTAAAGCAGTAAATAAAGTTAAATGCTTTTTATTTTCCTCTTGAATATATTAAACTACTTGAACAATTTAAAGTGCTTTGCAGAAGTGAAGCGAACCATTTCTAATGTTCTGATTTTTCAAAGCCAGCCAACAACAAAGTTTAGATTAGTAATATATTTCTAACCAGAGTAATTTTCAAGATCATTAGGCATTTATGTAATTAGTGCCAAATCTATAAGCTTTTATTACGATTATTAGAGTAAAATCAGTATAAATTTGTACTAATTTACTACTGTTTAGACTTGGCTGTCAAGCCAAGAGGTTCTTATTGTAAATGATAACTGAGGAAATTAAGTGCAAAATTCTGTACCATTTCTGATCCGCTCCTAAACAATCCGTTTCAATTGTATTTGTAGCAGAACATAATGCCCTTTTAAAGTTATTTGACTTGTATTTTTATTTGCAAAACAAGAAAAATACCCTCTACGCGGGCACAATGAAAACTGATATTTACTACTTCCAACTTGATTAACATTGATTTTTAATTCAAAAGTGATGCAATTAAGATTATTCATTTAGTGCAAATAAAGCTTCCACCAAAAAGCGAGCCCAGTGAAGTCTATGTTAAATAAAACGGAGCCAATGGCTTTTTTTTCCGCCATCCAATTGACTTACAAGAAACACTGTAAATACTGCATGCGAACAGATGCAAGAGTGGTTTTGTTTGCAGCTCAGATGTGCAGGGGTTTCGGCAGAGACTGAAGGAGACAAAGGAACCGGCCGACCGATCTCTAGGGCAGTTTTGCTGCCTTTTTTTTTTCCCTCCTCCCAGCTCAGGCTACATTGACTCAATTCAGCTTTCGAGACCTCGGTCTGTTGCGAAGAACCTGGGTACTCGGGAACGGCCGCTCAGAGCAGGGAGAGAGACCCAGAGCCGGGCCACAATTTAGCCGGAGACAGAGAAAGAAAGAAAGAAAGGAGATGGAGGTGATGTGGGAGTTTCGGGATTATTCTTTTTCCCCGGCTGGATGGGTGACTGCGGAGATAGCACATTCGCTGTGCTTTTTTCCTTTGAAAATTATTCTCTGTGTGCAGCCGCAGGGCAGGAGGGGAAGACCTGGCGGTGGAAACTGCTGGGAGGTGTGCCCCGGCCCGCTGCCGGGACCGGCGGAGTCGCTGGGGAGACGGGCCGGAGGCGCGGGGGCGACGCGCAGCCTTTCTGGCCGTGGCAGCCTGGCCCTGCCCGGGCCGGGAGTGCCCCGGCCCGCTGCCGGGACCCGCGGAGCGGAGCCGGCGGAGTCGCTGGGGAGACGGGCCGGAGGCGCGGGGGCGACGCGCAGCCTTTCTGGCCGTGGCAGCCTGGCCCTGCCCGGGCCGGGCTGAGGCGAGCGGCCAGGGGCTGGCCGGGCCGTCAGGGGCTCAGCTGCAGCCGCATGCATCGGCACAAGTGTGCGGCGCTCGAGGTGCCCGCGGCCGGCTTCTGCCGAGCGCGCCGTGGGCAGGGTGGCAAGCGTGCGTGTGCATCTATTCCGTGTTGTTGTATGTTTCAGGTCGATAAATAAATGTGTAATAGTTAATGTGCAGACACATCAGAGTAATAACAATGGGATGAAATCAAAGGATTATCAATCTCTGTTAGTAACTGCTGAATAACAATGTTGCGGTGTGATTGATAGCGCGCTTCATTTTATGACTTTTCTATTGCTCTTGATTTTTATAGCAGTATAAACAAACTAAATCATTTCTTCTAAGACTTCAGATCGCAATCGTCTTAAGGGAAGGGGGGAAATCAGAGAAGGAAGTCTGCGGGAGAGAAAAGAGCGGACTGGGCTGACACTTAGGCGTGTCAGAAAGAAAATGACAATGGGGCACATGTAAAATACCCTAATCACATTCCGCTTTCGCTCACTCCTGTTTTGTCAAGTGCCCGAATTCACCTGGGCAGCGTCGGAGATGTATTTACAAGGATTTTATTCCCCGTCATCTTTCCATTTTCCCAGTGTAGCCAGAAAACTGCCAGTCAACTCCATTCCCTGTTACAATTTACGGTATTCCCCACATGATCATAGGAACTGAAGTTCCTAACAAGGAAAGGCTTTAGCACAATGGCCAAAAATCTTCAGAGTGACACGAGTGTCTTCAGAAATCACTTCAGAGCAAAGTAAAAGGATTTTCTATGACGGATCCAGTGATTTTTCCTCAATAAATAGGTTTTAGATTGTTACACACACGTAGAACTGGAACAAAGGGCAGTACCAGAAAATATATTGGTTGCCCCTAATAAAATTTATTTAGACAGTTTATTTCTCATAAAAAATAGAGATTGAATTTCGTACAGAAGCGCCTGCCAAGAGGCCAGGCACTGGGAGATCATCTCCCCCCGCACCTTCCTTTGCCTTTCTTTCCTTTTCCATCCCATCCCCTCCTCTCGCTGCCCTGCCCGGCGGCGCCCGGCGGGCCCGATCCCGGGGTCCCGGCCGGGGCCGGCTCTGCCCTCCCCTGGACGCCCCCCCGCCCGCGCCAGCCGATCCGCCCGAGCGAGGGCCGCGGGAGCGGGGCGTGCCGCGTCTGGGAGTAATATAACCCTAATTCTCCAGCGCTGTGACCCTGGTAAGAAAGGGTAGAGAACTTTCCAAACCCCAGAGCTCCCCCTCTCCCCTCCCCGCTAAACTCAAGCCCTGATTGAATGAGGCTGTAATATAAACAAGTGTATTTAACCAATTCTGCTCTGATTTAGAAACAGAACCTTCTTTTATCAGAATAATTATATTTGGACCGAGAAACACAGTAAAATAAGGTTAAACTGCTAAAGTCAGCAGGGTGGCTTGGCATAAATGGCTGATAAGATTTGTAATTTGATATTTTATTTATGTATTTCTTGAGCATCCATCCAGTTAAACCGGCTGCTGTATGCAGAGCACCGTAATTGGTTTTTACACGTAGCAACGCTCACAGCGTTTACCAAATGCAACTTTTGGTTGTTGGCTTGTTCGTGCGGCTGCTTTTTTTTTTATTATTAATTTTTTTTAAATTTTATTTTTATTTCCAGACTGTAGTGCTGAAAAATCGGATATTATTATTCACATTCCCGCTGTTCAGTGCTGCATTGTAACATTGTTCGCTTTAATGAGAAGCGCCTCCCTCAATAATTAACGACCTCACATTTCCTTATTTTCTTGCCTGATGAAAAGAATCAATTTTAATTCATTGTAAATTACAGCTATGCTTTTGAGTGTTATTTGCTTACTTTTCCACATCGACATACCCTAAACACAAATGACAAATCAAACTATATCCTTTCGTTAGGGGTAATTTGGAGTTAAGAAATGGAAAAGCATAAACACGTGTTTTCATTTCAATCAACCCTCTCGAAAATATGACTTCTTTGGAACCGAAGGACAAGGCTGCCAGCAGCTACAGATCCCAATTTATACATTCTAGTCAGAGCTAAACGTGACGATCATCGCCGCTTTACGACACTAGGCTGCATGTAGCATTTTGTCGCCGCTATAAATACACTTCTTTGAAAGCAACTTTATGAAGTTTAAAGGCATCCGAGGCAAGAACGCTCGCAACTGATCAGAAATGGAGCCGTCAGGTGTCCCGAAAACAACCTCCCTAAGGTCGGCGGGGAGCGCCTGGGCCACCTGACACCCCTCCTCTAACACTGTAAAGAACAGCATTTTCCCATTTTCTCATTCATGTAAATATCTGCATCCGGCTTCAGAGGAGCCAAAGGCAGCGCCTGCGACTGTCTCCTGGCGGGCAGGCTGCGGGCAATCTCCGACAGTGAGGCGGTTACTTTAGATTGAAAGGATGGCTTCTATCAATTAATTTTAATCAGAGCGATGACAACCAGTCTTTTATGGGGAAAAAGCTATTTTAATATAAAGGAATGCCTGACGCCCCTGCCCGCTCTTGCCCGACCAGATGCAAACTCTTTACACACAAAAGTCACCTCCCCCCCTCCATCCAGCTTCGTACGCATGCATGTATTATGTACATACAGGCTTTTGACATAATATTAAGTTCATAAACTTAAAAATGTGGAGCCGAAGCGTAACGCACTGTGCTGTAGCTTTTGCAGTCGGACAGG